AATTAACACTGCATCCTCGATATATAGTTGACGCAGATCTAATAGTTTTGAACAATTAATTATTTATCTTGCTGTCGTCACCTGTATATCAGTTACATTTAAATTTTACAATCGAATTGAAGTGTTTGGAAACTGTAATTTCCCTACTTCTAAAACTTCTAAAAAAAAACGCAATTTCCATGCCGTTTCAAGTTAACAATTGTTGAAGCGCTTATGCCACATTACTCTTGGAGGTCACTTGTAAGGTACTTTGTTTGTTTAAGGTGCGTCTTGAAATCCAATTTTAACTTTAAAGTATATGTTTGGAAATATTCAGCTATGAAAAAAGTGCTGTTATAACACGTATCTACTTATATGTTGTTATAAATCACTGGAATCAAAATCAAAGGTCAGGATCAAGTTCTACATTTTGGCTTGTTATTACTTATAAGCAGAAACCTTATAACATATCGTCTTATTATCGACAACATGTTTTTACTTAATTTTTAGTTGCGACATGTTGTAACACGTTTAAAGGGTACATTGACATGTAATGGGATTTTTCTCCCTTCTTCTCTTTAAAACAAGCTGTATGGTGATATAAATCATTTACCTTATATAGTAAAAAACCTAAAGTCTTTTGATTTGAGATCCTTGATGTATGACCTTGAAATTGAGGTCAAGATCAAAGTTTAATTTAACGTTCTACATTTTGATCTTTACCGTTACTTATTATTGGTTCATGATGAAGTCATAGGATATTTTACATTGGAGAAGGGCAGCCAGAAGAGACCTTTTGTAAACCAGAAGTAGTAATGTTTGCATTATTTTCATGTCGAAGTTACTGGAACTTATGTTTTTTGGAAGTCAGGTTCAAATGAAAACAGAAATTAAATTTTGTAAATCGGAAGTGCATACTGTTCTACCTTTTTTAGCAAAAGTATATATATGCCATGCATTTTTTAAATCAGTGTGATTTTAGTAATTATCTGACACTAGAATTGACATTTTAAACACAAGTGAATATTTTCCTATCAAAATATATGCATTTGTGGTGAAAAAACCTTCAACTGTTCTTTTTGCATTGGTTTTTAATTGTATGTGTTTTTTCTTTTGTTTTTAGGCAGTTGGTATTGTAGTTCGTTATTGTTGTTGTTGTTTGTTTTTTCTAATTGTTATTTTTTGTGTGTGTGTGTGGGGGGGGGGGGGGAGGGTCAAAGGTCTGGCGTGTAATTATTCGAGCGAAGCACGATAATCTACGTGCATTTTCCATTAAAAGGAAACCGATATAGATTCTAATCTTTTGACAAAGATGTACCAGAATATTACACGCTTCAAAAATTCTCGCGCTTATTTCAGTACGGATGTAATAGAAGGACTGTCAAACAGAAAATTCACTATGAAAATATGCGAAAAACAATCTTGATGTTCATATTTTTTTTTCAAAGACCACTTTTGAAAGTTATATTATTTTTCAACTATCTTAAAATAAATTTTATTGCACACCAACTTTCTTAATTAACAAATTCACCGGGGCCGAATTGCGAATCCAAACTTCTCACTGTGTACTGCTACCCTATACATACAGCGGTCGACTTTACATTTTGAGCGCCAGTCTTTACTTCTCCAGCGATTACTTAACATCTTCGGCTCTTCAGCGCTATACTTTAAATCTCGTTTTCAAGGCTTTAAAAACCACTATTCCTTAGTAGCTGTATAAATAGACCAACAGGATTTGATCACACAAAACCAATGTCAAAACAAGAAGCAAGTTATAATGACAACCACTATACAGAGAGTTCGCGAATTCTGACGGTCGTATCCGATTGACAGTAAGTTAGTTGGAAGTTATTTTTTGACCGAAGATCCCAACATTGTTCCAGAATATCGTAACCGATACCAGACAATCTCAATCCGACATACTTTATAACATATTTAGCTTAATAAAATCATATTCGTAAAGAAATAGAAAACAAAACCTATTTATAATGACAAAGAACACTTATATACTGGTATATACGTTACGTTTTCAAGAACTCAGTGTCATATTGTCAAAAACTCACTGAGCTGGCCGCTCTTATACCTGCGGGAGATAAGTCATTACGATGTCATTTTAAATTACATTGGTCCGAGCAATGAACGCGACAAGCTCTCATTTAGTTATCTATGGCAATATTTACAGATTGACAATGCATTGATGAAAAGTCGATCTACCCTATCTATATTTTTGATATGTTGTACCAGAAAAGCTCACCAGGAAGTGTCAGTAACCTTTTTTCTAGCTTAACCATTTGGTTGAGATTTGATGGGGTACCAGGCGTGGAGATAGTGAAATAAATAAATAATTTAAATGTGCTGCGTGCACTGATTGATCCTATTGAAATTATAATTTCTAGTTTTGAAATATAATTCGGTTCGATCGTACATTATTTCAAAATAAAAGCTAGTTAGAGTTTTACCTATTGTAAACTGCATACATGCATCTATATATAAATTGATCAATAATGATTTTTTTAGATAAATAGATAATGAGCTATGGCATGGAACAAAATATTTGTATGATATGTCGTTTGTTTTATTTCATGAAGCATGACTAGTTAAATCTGGCGTAAGGAATGGTGATTACTTACCCATGATATTATATAGAACATATTGGTAAATGTACATACAAGTTTTGCAGTATTTAAACTTGGCATAATTTCTTAAAACATTTTTGTGAATCGATATTTGCAACTTATGAAAAAGAAAATATAGAAAATCCGCTATTTAAAGTAATAAATAATTGTTAATATTTTGAATAAAAAGTGTTTTTGAATTGTAACGGTTTTACTGACGTAAAATACTAACTTAAAAGTAATTTTAATAAAATAAAGAAATGTACAAATGTACACAAATTTGTTATATAATTTACACAATCAGTGAACCGGAAAAGTAAACGCACGTTTACTTTCAAGTGCACGTAAAAATATACTTGCGACATCTGTAGTAAAGGCCCGTTTACTTTCAAGTTGACGAAAAAAATATACTTGCGAAATCTGCATTAAACGCTCGTTTACTACCGACTAAACGGGCACAGAGTAAATGCGTATTGACTCGGTAGACATTCGAAATTCCCATTTTGACCGCGTTAACATAAATATAGTAAACATGCCGTTACTAGTAAATGCGAAAATTGAAGTCAACAATCGAAATATGTGCACGCAGATTTAACGTGCATTTACTCTATTAAATGCTTGGTTTGCACCCAACTGTACTAATTAAATAACACAAATGACTTAGTTACTGGTTTTTAATCGGATACAATCATCATATGCCATTTTTATAGAGATGAAGTAAGAAAACTTTCACTTTTCTTGTAATCTGCCTTAGTTGAAAGGGATATGATATTAAGTGTTTAGATTTACTTAATGATATAAACATGACATCAATATAGAGTATTCAACAGTGTCTTTTCCATGCTGTATACTAAATGTACTATTTATCGTATCGGGTTTTTAGCAAAACGTCTGGGAAAATAATTAATCGAGGAGGAATCAATTAATGGCAGTAAGAAAACGAGACAAACTGAACCTTCTATGGAAACGACTGTGCATGAATTTTCCTCATCATGATCAAGTTCTCCGTATGTAATACTAAAGCATGTATTAAAAAAAAACAAAAAAAAACTCCTAAGTTCATTTAAAAAGATCGACATCCATAAAACCTGAAAAATTAAATGATCGACTAAATCAACCAACGGAACAAATGGAAAACAACTGTCATATTCCTGAATTGGTATGGGCAGTCTACGAAGTAAACAGTAGGATAAACATGGTTGTATAGCTAGCGTAGACAGTTAATTATATTACTACCACTTGGAAATGGTCGATACCTCTACTGACGGACTGTTTGTCTCAAATGATATCATGAGCCCAATATGCAGTACCTAAGTACGGGCATGAACATACGGATATTTTACTGTGATATTAGAATAAGATGTTATACAATTTTAAAAATTATTTGAAATAAAGGAATATATCTCATTCATGTAAAGCTCTGATTCCATGCCCAGGTTTGGCTTTATCTTTTGTCTTTTTGGGATTTATACGCTCATCAATGTTTTAATACGTTTTGGATATTCAAATGTGTGGGTCTGATTCTTCTGGTACCGTTAGTGCTATTGTTTATAGTTCCGTTATTTAGAACAAACAGACAGAATTTGTCTCAGACATGAATTACAATATTATTTTGTACACGCTATGCTAAATCGTAACACCTTAACACATATTTTATAGGAGTATCACGATGGGTGTCGCTTGTGGAGCAGAATCTGCTTACACATCAGAAGCGTCAGAGATCACTCCTGAGTTTAGGTTGGGAAAGGGGGGGGGGGGAGGGTTGTGGTGTTGCTCTATCTTAAGTTTTTCTATGTTGTGTTTAATATACTGTTATTTGTCTTCTGATCATTTTTCATGCCATGGCATTGTCATTTTACTGTAGACAGATATGAGTTTGATTATCCCTTTGGTATCTGTTCCCTTTCCTTTGTGGCGTAAATAATTGAGCAACATGTGCAAATTTCCAATAGTGAAATAACTAAGCAAGCCTTTTTAAAAGATCATGGAATTGTATATAATTATAAAAGCAAGCAAAATATGTATTAAATTGCTACATATATGGACCACTTAGTCCAACAAATGCAAAACAGAACTGCGGTCAGGTGATGCAAATTTGATAAAAGAACATAGAAATGAATACATAACGACTTCATTACGAGTCCTTAAAGTATACAACGATGCGTGATTGCTCCCGACGGTTTAATACATATTTAGGTTAGTTTCACGGAATGCAACATTGTCAGTCATGTATATTGATTCCATTACAGTTGTGTATATACTACAAACAAATCATATGATTTTCATATATGGTTTTGATATCACATCTCTCTCCTTGTACTAGTATTGCTGTCATTTAAAACAGAAATATTTTCAATTGAAATATTCAAATTGAAATGTTCTAATATATTTTTTGCCATTACTTACAATTCACTGTTACATCCAGGCTTTTATTCTGAGTACCACCAATAGTATTTGATGCTGTGCAAATAAACTCTCCACGATCCGCAATGGACAATACCGTTAAAAACAATTGGCCACCATTGATAGTTGTTGTGTCTGGTTTAGTCCACGTGTAATGACAAGGAGGATTACATGTTGCAGCACAATTAATTGGACCAAGTTTTTCCCCTTTAGTCTTTGTTAATGAAATGTCACTGGGTTCAAATTCAAGACTTGATCCTGGACCGACTGTGGTAATAAAAATAAAATAAAAATTACCATCTGATAAGTCCTTGAATGAAGGAAACATTATATATCGGCATTTTGCGTATTTTTATTTTGATCTATCATTGTGATAAAATATTTCATATCATGCTACTCGCCTGAAATAGAAAATGATCGTCAGAAACTAAGGGCGCACGTGCCGTTGTGAATGTAAACATCAATGACGTCATCGACAAAATAGCGATGAATAGATTATTAATGGTCTTTTAAATCGAGGATGTCTTTTGGCCATATTTTATCTCAGGGCTCTCGCCCTTCGATGAGATTGTAGCTGAGGAACTCCCTCTCGTTTGAAAACAAAACATGGATATGTAAATCATTTTTAGACTTATACCTCGAATTTGACATAGCTGATCATGTCAATGACAAACGAGACGATTTTAAATTTCCTCTGACCTAACAGCGAAATACTAACTTCACTTCCATATCGGTTTACATTTTCCAACTCATTTGGTATTCAAGACCTTGCAGCTGCTACTCAGACTTTATAAAACGTCACCAGTTTCTGAGCAGAAAGTTGATGAACCAGTGTTATGTCAAAGAGCATCTCGTCCTTTTTGTAAATAAAAAGTAAATCAGAAAATACTAAGACATTGATGTAAATATTCCGAATCAACTTCACAAAGAATACATGATGGTCTTTAAGTAAAGATTCTAGGAACTGACTTCTTAACAACGTGTTAAAGCGTTCTTTGTAATTGTGTTTGTTTATTTTTTAACATTTATTGTTTAGTCTATTTTTTGTAATATCCTTTTTGGCTCGATATTTATACATCCCGCAATTTTGTTATTGTGCTGTTTTTTGTATTCTTGTCTTTATTTTTGCTTATGTGCTTTGTCTATATGTCAATTTCTTTTTCTTTGTTGACATAGTTTTTTTTATAGTGATTAAGATTATAAGACAATCATGTTGACTGCTGTACCCCAATATCTGACATTTTAACCTATTATGGCTGTTTGGTTTGCTCACACATTGTTGCTATATATAATGGAACTCTATGCGACTGTCATAACAGTGAGAGGTTAATCTGGCTGTAAAACCAGGTTTAATCTACTATTTTCTACAAACGGAAATGCCTGTATCAAGTCAGGAATATGACAGTTGTTTGCCATTCGTTTGATGTTTTTGAGCTTTTGATTTTGCCATTTGGTAAGGAACTTTCCGTTTTGAATTTTCCTTGGAGTTATTTTACTTTTTTTCATAATGTGATGATTAATCTCAGAATGATGAAACGTACATAAGAAAGTCTCTATATTTAAATTAATCGTAAAAAAGTTAAAGGGTACACAAAACTAATTTCAGTTCAATAAAAATTATTTGAGAGGTCAACATATTATCTAGAAATGAAACCAAACTTGTTTCCATACAATATAACTACTGTTAATCCATTGGCATGCAGCAAGTGTGTGAATATATTTAGAAAGACTACCAGAGATCTGGTACCAACACCATGATTTCCTCATGACAATATCAGCTATACTTTCTGCCACGGTCCTGGACTAGACACATAAAAACGAATATGTGACCGTGTTTATGTAGTTTCTTTTTTAATCATGTTTCCTCGTTTAAAATATAGGATCTAGACAATTTTAATAAGGTAACATCATGTACACTTAAAACCAATATGAAATCATTCTTAACGAAAGCACCTAGATAAATGATGCTATTTAGCTTCAAATAAAAAAAAAACATTCGTCATAAACAAAGCAAACAGTATTACTTACACTGAACATTTATATTCACATCGTCTGATTTCAAACTACCAACGTCGTTATATGCCGTACAGTTAAAAACTCCACTTTGATTTTTCTGTATATTTTGAAGACTGAGTACGTAAGTTGTGCCAGCGGGAACGTTAGGACCAGACCATATGAATTTACAAACAGGTCTACAGTCTGCCCTGCAATTGATTGGTTGTATATTGTTTCCTCCTGTTACACTATAATGCGTGTCACGTGGAAACAGTGTAACAGACTCGGGACTGTCTGCAAAACAAATGATGTAACGGTTAAAATTCCGCATGAACTTTTAACAAGAAAGGGTCTCCAGTTGTATTCCTTGAATAGCAATAATTTATGTCATTTTATTTCGCATAATTATTTTTTTAGAAATGTGTCTTGCATTCTGTATTCGGTATTTTAGGTTCATAATACCGATGTAGAAAATCTGAAATAAAAAAATCATGACATCTAAGTGTATGATGCATTTGCAAATTATTGTTAATCGAATTGGAAAAGCATATTCGTACTTTTTATTTCAGTAAAACAAAACGTAGTTAGTAATACCCATTTTATTACACAAGCCTTGCTAACAGTTTCATTACCTCTCTTTGCATTCGATATACAACGCAAAGAAAAGAACAAAAGTAGGTAGACTTTCTGAAATTAAGTCTGAGTTCATTTTCAGGAATAGAAATTACAATGCTAACTACACTTTTTAAAGTATAAAAATAAGGAGATGTGGTATGACTGCCAATGAGACAACTATCAACCAAAGTTCAAATGAAGTGGATGTAAGCAATTATAGGCAACCGTACGGTCTTCAGCTATGAGAAAAATCCATAGCGTGTGGTTGGCTATAAAAGGCCCCGACATCAAAAATATGAAACAATTCAATTGAGAAAACGGCCTAATTTATAACAAAACCGTTTACGAAAAACAAATATGGCAGACATGAACCAACGACAACCACTGAACTACAGGCTCCTGACTTGGGACAGGCACATGAAGAATGTGGCGGGGTTAAACATGTTTGTCAGCGTTCAACCCTTCCCCTAACCTGGGACAGTGGTGTAACAGTACAACATAAGAACAAAATATATAAATCACTTGAAAAAGGCTTAACTCATCAGATGGATACAAATAGAAATACATCTAACAAAAACACAAAGTGGACGTGGCCGGGTACTTGTACATCCCCCCCCCAAAAAAAACAACAAAAAGACACTAAAAAAAGTACAGATCTGAGAGTACTCGCAGTTAGTGGCAGCTAGTTCAAAGTCAATAACAACTAATGAAAAAAATGATGTATCTAAGACTAAAATATATATCAGTACACATCCAATATCCAATGGATTTAATGTAAAGACGTCATTAACAGTCAGAGAAAAACATGACCTTGTGCAATGCCAACTATATGTATCGACAGATTGTAGTACCGTGAAAGTTTATATGTGTAATATTTAGTATGGTTTTAATTTTTTGATAACAAAATCAATATTTACACTAATGAAAACAATATTCAAAGATTTAATTACAGTGTTGAATAGGTAAACTTTTAGAATAAGTCCATTTAAAGGATTGATAAGTTTACCCGGATAGTATCTAAATTTCCGGGCTGTCAATACCAATGACTAGATCATATTTTACCGTATGACTTTCGGTTTATATAATGATGGCACTTAGTTTCATTAGTTAAGGAAATACTTCCATAATTAAATGCCGGTTATTCTTGTGAGTCTTATTGATATTTATCAGTATTAACTTCTTTCATCAAACTTTCGTGTTGCTTTCGTCTGAAGGACTTTCATGTTTACACTTTTATTATCGATTATTGCTTTAGTCAATGGTCAAATCTGTAAACAAAAGCAGAGAGTTAACCGCGCAAACGTTGGTCTGACGCAAACTTAAAATAGATATTTATGAATACGGCCTTGTCATTTCTAATATTTTCTCAATTTCAGTGTAAATGAATTGACTAGCTGATAACTTGTACGACTTTGCCCCCAGCAGAGCTATAGAAAAACAGTACATTAACGGGTGTTACACGGACACTTTTTAGATGATACACGGACACTTTTTAGTTGTTACACGGACACTTTTTATGAATAGAATCACTCGTGCATGATCAGTGAGTTCATGGGCACTTTAAATTTCAATTAGATTAGAACTTTTTGTTTTACCGACATATTTCCTGTCTTTTTAATTAAAATATTTACGTTAGCATCAATAACTATATTTTTCTTCAAACAATTCCAGTAACTATTCATATTAGTACACTAAGGGATTGACCATTTAACTTCAAAAGGTGGGTTATGGTTTTTTCCTTAAAAAATATTTTGATCCCCAATTTTATGAGAAAAAATATATAATATATTATATAGTTGAAAAACTAAATAATTTTCTTACTCAGAAAAGAACACACCCCCTTTTAAAGCTAAATGGTCGGTCCGTAAATATTTTTTTTTTCAATATATGGACATGAATAGTATTCTGGACAATGCTGAAAGAAATACTGGTGCCAACGTTTATATTTCAATAAATAAGACAGCATATATATATAAAAGAAATCAAATCTAATCAAAAGATAAAATCCCTATCAACTCACCAATGCACGATTGATCCTATAAATAAAAAGTGTCCGTGTAATACACGTTCAAATAGGCAGCAAATCTTGAAGAAAATCATTCAACTTATGTCATCAATTTTGGACGGTAAGGTCTGATTGGATCATATAATGACACGTGTTTAATCCTGATCAACACTATCAGAGACATATAAAAACCTATAAGCATGAACATTTTTTTTAATCCAAAATATATGCCTATATATATCTAATAACAAGACAAAATCCATTTTTTCATAACATTTCATTCACTAATGAGATTGGAAATTCATTCTTTCGATACACTTATATTGTTATTGAATTCATATATTTGGCGGCGTACGATTTTTACGAATTTTTTAGGGGGAATGAGGGGGGGGGGCAGGGGCTGGAATGGCACAGCCTGCATTCTTTCAACAAAAAAAGGATGAAGCCTATTTATTTAAAAATTTATTTTAACTCCCCTTTTTCCCCCAATAAAAATCAAATGGTAGCTTGCTTACCTCTGAAATCTTTTTTTATACATTACTTACTTGCGAAGTTGCATTTCAAAAAGTCTCAAATGTGTATAACATTCACCTTTAACTTGAAATGGTTCTTTTTATAAAGTTATTAGATTCTTGATTTTTTTAAGAAAAAACTCTCGGCTGAAGGGAAGTGAGAAAAAAAAAATTGAGTTTAAACTGTAACTTACATTAACTGGTATATGGCCATTTAAGTTTCTAATATCTTTAGTTTTGCTACCTCTTCTAAATGCAAACTGTACTTCTTCCTTCTTGAAACGTCGTACAAGTCAGATACAAAACAAAGGTAACAAAAAACAGGCCGGAAACAACCTGCCGTATAGTTTGTCTGCACTTGTAGTCTCAATGTGAATAATTTGCACACTAAACAAGGTTAAAACATAAATGCGTTTAAGTACCTAGTATGAATAGTTGTGACGAAGAAGAAATTTGCACTTTTCTCTGCCCTTCTTTAATTAGATGGGATATTAACTTATTGGGTTTACTAAACATGATAAAAAACATCAAAATAAAGAATGAAAAATTGACTTTTTCTATGCTGTATAATTCATGTAATTTGTATCATTTCATTTTATGAAAAGAACGTCTGCAGAAATCAATTATTCCGGAAAACCCCTTTGATTACAATGGGACATCAATGAATTGGATGTTTACCAAGCCTGATCTCCGTGTGTAATATTAAAATGGTACCAGACATAGATTACACCTTTTTTTCAGGTCAATGCAAATTAAATGCTCATTATAAAAATAAGGATATGTGGCATGATTCCCAATGAGGCAACTATACACCAGATTCAAATTAGCTTATATGACAACTGATAGTTTTACAAAAAGAGGGGCGAAAGATACCAGAGGAACATTCAAACTCATAAATCGAAAATAAACTGACAACGCCATAGCCAAAAAAGAAAAAGACAAACAGACAAACAACAGTACACAAAACACAACATAGAAAACTAAAGACTAAGCAACACGAACCTCACCAAAAACTGGGGGTGATCGCAGGTGCTTCGGAAGGGTAAGCAGATCCTGCTCCACATGTGCCACCCGTCGTGTTGCTCATGTTAGTACAAACCCGGTAACAAGTCTAATTCGGTAGGTCACATTCGTGAAAAGGGGACGGGATTGTAGTTACGACATTAGGAACATATCCGCTATCATCTGTGAAACGGATATTCCATAACGGTCAACCAACTCGTGATGGCGTCCGTAAAATTTACGAAGGGATGATTTCAACTTCACCATTTGGAACTGTTGGTTTAATAGCTTCCTTGTGAGCAGTTACCCTCTATCAATGACATCATGATAGGAAATACAAGCCCGGGAATATCGTATCAATTGGGAGATTATATACTCCGTATGCAGGCGCTGCTGGAATGTTGCTACATAAAAATGGAATGTTCCCAATTGGGAAGCTGAAATCATCTCTTTTGTCGTAAAGTTTTGTTTTCAACCGACCCATATTGTCAATTTCTAGATGTAAGTTAATTTATAAGGCAGACTTAACTGTATCTGTTGTATCCTTTATCTCAAGTTCGATGGGATAGATGCGTTCAACATAGTCACCAAATTTTGAATTATTTAGTGAGAGAACATCATCTATATAGCGGAAAGTAAAGTTAAAGGATACTGCTAACTTCTTTTCTTTCTTCCGAAGAAGTTCCTGTATGAAGTCAGCCTCATAAGAATAAAGGAACAAGTTGGCAAGAAGCTTAAGCGGGGCACAGTTGGTTCACATGGGAATGCCGATAGTTTCTTGAAAAATTATGATTATATATGCAAGGAAAACTTGTATTCAACAGTGACATATGGAGACCATTTAGTATAAAATGCAAAACAGAAGTGAAACTGGTCAGTTGTGCGGTGTGCTACATTGTCGGTCGTCTTCATAGATTTGATCACAGGTATGTCTACACTTCATGTTTAATTTTCACATCTCCCTGTCCTTGCATTGGTGTCATTTTAAGCAGAAACATTTTGAATTGAAATATGCAAAGTAAAACGAAAAGGACTAGCTATCACTTTTTACCAATACTTACAATTAACTGTTACATCCAGACTTTTATTCTGACTTCCACCAATATCATTTGATGCTGTACATATAAACTGTCCATGATCCCCAATAGACAGTGATGTTAAAATCAACTGACCACCATTGATAGTTGTTTTATCTGGTTTAGTCCATGTGTACTGACATGGAGGATTACATGTTGCTGAACAATTAAATGGACCAAGTTGTTCCCCTTTCGTCTTTGTTAATGAATTGGTACTAGGTTCGAATTGAAGACTTGATCCTGGACCAACTGTGAATGAAACTTATATAATGGAAAATCATCTTTACTGTTGAATTATTTATTTTCGTGGCTACCAATTTTTCGTGGATTGAGGAAAACTTGCCTTTTTCGTGGATATTTGATTTCATGGCCTTGCAAAATCTGCATACAAGCCTATAGAAAATTTTTAATTCGTTAAATATTTAAATTCATGTTTCTCTCGTATCCCCGAGATCCTCGAAAATTGGTATACCACGAATTATACTGAACAATATTTAAACAATCTTGTAAATTCAATAATAAAAGAAGCGGGTAGAGGCTCTTTTAAATTTTGGACACTTACTTATAATCTAAATCTAATGATTACATTTTAAGATAGAGCATTTTGAAGTAATATCTAAATATTTTAGGCAAGTCCTTAGGCCCAAATCTTGATATATGTAGTTGAAATTGTTCGATTCAAACATCAATAGTAAATACCCAAAGTTTAAAACACAAAATGTCCTTGCTTTCTTTGATGTACATCTAATTGCCTTGAAACTTAGTCAGCTGTATCATAACTTCCAAAGCTTCGGTCATGCCACGTTTTATTTATCAGGAAATAGTTATTGTCCTTTGATTTTTGTTGTACACTTATAGATTGGACAGTGTATAATTTAGAATTTGTTTTCATACACCTTTGAAATTTATTTCTTTATACTTTATATTTCTAAAATTTTGTAACTACAAATGTATGGGAATGTAGTTACATGTCTAAACAAGTTGGGGCATGAAGTTAAAGGTAAGCTAGTGGTTTGTTTCAGTTGAAGAAGGTCCACAATAAATGTCTGAAGCTATCAAGATGAATTATAACCATACAATTATAAAAATAAGAAGATGCGGTTTGATGGCCAATGAGACAAGTCTCCACAAGAGAGCAAATGACACAGTAATTAACAACTATAGGTCACCGTACGGCCTTAAACAATGAGTAAAACACATAGCACTTAAGTCGAATTGACTTAATGTTGATTTGATAATGATCGAAGCTTACTAGATATCGATATTGAGAGTGATTAGCCTTCAACGGCCGTCAACAATGACTAAAACCCATTCCGCATAGGTAGCTATAAAAGGCCCTGAAGTGACAAATGTAAAACAATTCAAACAAGAAAACTAACGGCCTGATTTATGTACAAAATAATGAACGAAAAACAAATACATGTATGATATATATAGGCTATTTGTCTATGTTGCGTTATTATTTAGTCTAATGTATTACAAATGTACATTTGTTTATTGTTATTCTATGTTTTGTCTTGAAAATTGATAAATGTAAAGCATGAAAACATACAATGTATACATGTGTTTGGTGAGTTATCTACCCTATCTAAATGGTGAGAGCTTTTACCAAATTCGCAGTCTATTTTGGGTTTTTTTGGGAAAAATTTGGTCTGTTTATAAAGTATGATTGTGGAGTTATGTCCCCTGAAAATGCATATAAAAAAATGTTTTTACTGTAAAATTATCCAGTTTAATTAAACCACTTACTTTTAATAAACAACGTACAAATATATCAAGATAGGCATTTATGCAGACCGGCCTTTACAGAACAGACAATGTTAAACTTATTACCATAAACGATTATCATAGAAAATAAAATTTATCTAGGACAACAGATGAACATTATATTGAACAAATTTACACCATTGAGAAAGACATTGGATATAAATGCATGGTTCTGTCTATGTATAAATATGTAAAGGCAAACATTTCTGTATGTTCACTGGTATTCTAGTTAAAAATGCAAAGGAAAGGGCTTCATATGATACTAATGACAATTGGAAAAGTATAATAAATATAGCCCACAAGCGCAATGACAATGCGGCTTTGTATTATCATAATTTAATATATGTGGTGTTACTGTTCAAATTTCTTGTACACATACATATCATGTACTTAATGCCCTGTTTTGTGTGTGATCACGCCTAAGTGCCCTATTTAAGATACACGCCTATCTATTTTCAAATTATAGCTGGAACACTGACATACATATCATATCAAAATTATTATCTTATTGCATAATAGCTTTAGAAATCTTTTATCTCCAACAATATACTACAATTATTTTTTTCTTAAGAATGTCAAGTTTAAAGGTAAAATTAATTCAAAATGAAATTTCCTTTTTCTTCCAGTTAGACCAAATGTTGACCAACATATAGATGCTACTGAATGTGAAAATGTTAGCCAGTTTTCTTGTTATGTCATACCAAAACAAAAACACCAATATTACCTGGAGCAGAAGTAACAGGCATTGTGTGGAATTAAACCAACCTAGCTAACAGTTAAGGGTAAAGAAGTCATAGCATAACAGCTTTCGGCAACTTCTTATGGCTACAGAAGTTTGATAATGCTGTCCTGGTATAGCCATTAATGGGATAAAGTTTTACTTTCGGTTTTTGTCAAAGTCAAACTGCAAATTCAAACTTGTTTAATCCTTATTTGCAAAGCTGTGTTGCTTGTATTGATTACGTTGCTGTCATAAAATCTATAGTTCCAAAACTTCAGGAGTATCGCAATTTAACTTGGCAGAACCCATTCGTAAGAAAGTGCAAATGTTTTTTTAATGTAAATGTCTCTCTTATTATGAGTAATAGGATAACTATATTTGGTATTGCATACATTGTACCTTACAATTAAGGTCCTCATGTTTGTCAAATAGTTTTCACTTGACCTCGACCTCGTTTCATGGATCAGTGCATACGGTTAAGTTTCGGGGTCTAGTCCATATCTCAGATACTATAAGCAATAGTTCTACAATATTGGGTGTATGGAATGATTGTAAGGTGTACATGTCAAACTGGCAGTTGTCATCTGATCTTGACCTCATTTTCATGGTTCAGTTGTAAAAGTTTAGTTCTTGTGTTTTCATCTATTTCTCAGATACTATAACCACTCAGTCAATAATATTTATTGTTATGGAAAGGTGTAAGTTGTACATGTCTGTCTTGCAGTAATCTTCTGACCGTGACCTCATTTTCATGGATCATTTGTCAATGTTATGATTTCCTTGTTTGGTCTGTTTTTCAGATACTATAAGGAAAAGGTGAACTATATTTGGACTATGTTATGATTGTAAGGTATATATATTTGTCTGACAGATATCAGCTGACCTTGACCTTATTTTCATGGTAACTATATTTGGTGTATGGAATTATTGATGTAAGGTGTATATGTTCGTCTGGCAGATGTCATCTAACCTTGACCCAATTTTTAAGGTTTATTTAACATTGTTAATTCTTATAAGTTTGGCCAGTTTCTCAGATACTATATAACAACATAGATCTTCTGAATAACGCATTTGACGATTTATTTTGGCTTATTGTTGTACACACATGACCAGGAATGCTTTTTGTCGTTTCTTTTTGTTGCATTAACTAAAGGTAATAATAACTGCCTTCCGTTAATTGCCCATAAACGTTGATTAGTGAAAGAATCTCCCCTTTCACATGTTTCAGCAAAAATACCATAGCAAATCGTGTTAAGGTTCCATGAAATCAAGATATTTTTTCTAGCAACACATTGCAGACTTCAATGCTGGATCGTATGCTGTTTTAAGTATATCTCCAAATATGTATACTTCAACGTATTTGATACGATTGGATACTTTTTAAATTGACTGACATCTATTAAAGTTCATAAGAAGGAATTCAAACCTACGACACGATTTACTTTGAATAAAAAAATATCTGTTCACCTGAAAAATGACAGGAACTAGATAAATGAATTTTAAATGTTTATGTTTCAGAAAATTATAAGCTTACCTTGATTTTGATATCCTTTTTTTTTCCTAAAGAAGGTGCCAAAGTAAACAAATTGAAACACCTGAATTCATTTGATACAATCCATATATTTACACAGTTGAAATTATCTGTTGGTGTGCAGATTTCTGTTACCCATCTATTTTCTACGTCAATCAAAACAACTTACCACTATTATTAAAAATTCAAGGGGAGCATCTCAATGTTTTTCAGACTTAGTTTATTTTGGCACCTTTTGTGGAAAAAAAAGTAATCTTGAAATCCAGAGAGGTTAAATTATGAACGTAATAATTAATGACACAATTCTAAGAGTGTTCTACTGAAAAATTTGTTATTTATTCACTTACGAAGAATTGTCGGTACCAACACGTCACTTTCAACAATTGTAGATTCATTATCTGAGGAGCTACATGTAAATATCACTGATGTTGGAAGATGTGAAGGTGTGTCGTATGTCCAGTGCGTGGTTAGTCCATTATCATCACAAGCACATGATGCATTTTTACAAAGTATAGACACAGGGCTCATGAATTGAAAACATCCATACTTTTTGTAGTACCAAACAGTAGTTTCTTCGAGATAAGTATCTGCGGTTCTGGCAAAAAATAATGTCCGTCTATTGTCTTGATATTCATCAACTGTACATGAGACATTGTATGGCACGCCTGGTTCAATGTAAGGGTGTCCAGATATACCAACATTAAGACTGTGAACAGTTTGCACTAAAATGAGTAAGAACTTTACAATAATTACAAGTTTTAACGTATTCATATTACCAAGATTCTGCATTTTTTATTTCATCTAGTGCATTTCACAATAATTCTTATATGATTTGCATATCTTCAAATAGTTGAATCGGATTGATCCGTAAGAATGTTTTCCCTTGGTTTACACTTCGATATACCATGTTGCCAAAACTACTTTCGTAACCTACTGAGATTGAAAAATCATCCAATGCTGCTATTCCTACTATAATGCATACCAAAAATAAGAAATGATTGTAACAGGATGCTGTAACGAAGTCTCCCAAACGAAGCTCCCATAATTCGTCATTCCCAGGGTCGCCTGACATCACAAAGTCCGGTGATAATTGGTTTGGTCCTGTATAGTTATATGCATTAGTGATGCCTTGGGACTGACCCTGTATATCATTCAAATCTTCTTGACATGACGAATAGGACTATATATGGTTTAGGTGTGGGAATCTCGACCATTTACAAGATATTAGATCATAGGGGGTGGGGGGACCCCTGGGGACTGACCCTATATATCATTCGAATCTTTGTGACATGACGAACAGGAATATATATGGTTTAGGGGAGGGGATCTCAACCATTTACAAGATATTAGAACTTTCTCAAATGGCAGGGGGTGGGGGTGACCCCTGGGGACTAATACATTATTTTATTTGATGTGCTGTATCATGACTAACCAGAATATATATGGTTTAGGGGTTGGTATCTCGACCATTTGCAAGATATTAGAACTTTTTCAAATGGCAGGGGTGGGGGTGACCCCTGGGGACTTACCCTTTATTTCATTTGATGTGCTTTATCATGACAAACCAGAATATATATGGTTTAGGGTTGGGGATCTTGACAACTTACAAGATATTAGAACTTTCTCAAATGGCAGGGGGTCGGGATGACCCCTTGGGACTAACCCAGTATATCATTCAAACCATCTTTGCATGACACACCAGAATATATATGGTTTAGGGGTGGGGATCTTGACCACTTACAAGATATTAGAACTTTTTTAAATGGCAGGGGGTGGGGGTGACCCCTGGGAACTAAACCTGTATTTCATTTGATGTGCCTTATCATGACAAACCAGAATATATATGGTTTAGGGGTGGGGATCTTGATCACTTAGAAGATATTTAAACTTTCTCAAATGGCAGGGGGTTGGGATAACCCCCGAGGACTAACCTTTTGTTTCATTTAATGTGCTTTATCATTTAGAACATTTTCAATTAAAAAGAATGTGTCTATCACAAATGGTTTTCAATTTATAATCATTTGAAAAATTTTTTAAATAAAATCCCAGAGGGTTCTTTAGTAAACCCCTCCTTTCTTTTTGCCCCTTAAAGTACCCCTTTACAAACCCCATTGCACAAACAAAACCCTTATTGCACCACTAGACATGTTAGTCTAACATATTGTAGAACCCTAAGTTAATCTGACAAGCGGTTTAGGAGAACCGTTGCGGACAAGTTCAAATTTAAAAGCGGCAGAAGAGGAAGAAGAAGAAGAACTAGAATTGCTATTGCAAGCAATAGCGGATGTCACCCCCCCCCCCCCCCCCCCCTATTTTGGAAATTCCGCAGTCAAAAGCCTCATCTATACTTGCCAGTTAACATTTATATTAAGTTTCAATAAGTTTGGAGCATTTTGAATTTTTGACATTTTTTCTGTTTCCATGGTAACGATGACCATTTTCAAAATTTTAATGACAGATGCCACATTGGTACATGAGAGGGAACATACCATCAAAGTTTCATTGGGTTTGACCTACCAGTTTAATACAGCAAATCCTACTTTAAGGTGTTAGGACCATTTTGACATTTTTTGCATTGTTTCCATGGTAACGGCAGCCATTTTGGAAATTCCAAAGTCAGATGCCACATCTACACATGCCAGTCAACATTTCTGTGAAGTTTCATTACAATTGGAGCATTTTGAAATTTTTGACATTTTTGGTGTCATTTCCATGGCAACAAAGTAGTTCTGATGATTGTCAAAATCATCCAAAACCTAGTATATAATGGACATCTACATTGTATAAAAATTTAATGATTTAAAGTTCAGGCATACTCAAATAAGTCACCAAACCCATAAATTTTATTTTTTGTCATTTTTTCCGTTTCCATGGTAACGGCAGCCATTTTAAAAATTCCAGAGATGTCCTGCAAAACTTCAGATGGTCGTCTTCATTATGATAACCATTCATAAGAATTAGTTCACTAAACTCCCAGAAATCCGTCGGACAAAAAAGGTGGCAGAAAAAAAATAATAACTAGATTTGCCATTGCAAGCAATAGCGGATGGCACCCTTCCCTCATTACCAGGCGAGCGGCAGCCATTTAGAAAATTCCAAAGTCAAAGAGGGCATCTACACATGCAAATTATAATTTTTGTAAAGTTTCATTAAGTTTGGAGCATTTTGAAATTTTGGACATTTTTGCTGTTTCCATGGTTACAGCGGCCATTTTGAAAATTCCAACTGCAAAATGCAACTCTGCCTATGCCAGTTACCATTTCTGTAAAGTGTCATCCAGTTTGCAGCATTTTGATTTTTTTTGAAATTTTTGACATTTTTGATGTATCCATGGTTACAGTGGATAATTCCAAAATTTTAAAAGCAGACATCTCATTGCCACATGTCATGTTATATATCAATACAGTTTCATTGACTTTGGTGAAATACTCTTTAAGAAAATGCTAATTTATTGCATTTTCCCATAGGGTCAATGTTAAACTTGCCCCCAGTTTCCATGACAACGGCGGCCATTTTGGAGTATCAAAATATTGTATTGGCATCTTGGCATACTGGGTAACATTTTCATTAAGTTTCATCCAGTTGGGTCTTATAATGGAAGAGTTAGAATTTTTGATATTTTAGTTGTTTCCATGGTAACGGCAGCCATATTGAAAATTCCGAAGTCAAACTGCAAATCAGCACATGCCAGTTACCATTCCTGTGGAGTTTCTTCCAGTTTGGAACACTTTGACTTTTTGGCATTTTTGCTGTTTCCATGGAAACGGCGGCCATTTTTTACCATTCCATAGCAAGGTGCACAACTTTACATGGGGGTCTTCATTATAGTAGAGTTCCATCAACATTAGTCCATTGGATTCCAAGAACTCGCGCGGACAAAATTTGTGCAAGAAAAATAATAAGAAAAACTAGATTTGCCATTGCAAGCAATAGCGGATGGCACCCTTCCATCATTACCAGTCGAGCGGCAGCCATTTAGAAAATTCCAAAGTCAAAGAGGGCATCTACACATGCAAATTATAATTTTTGTAAAGTTTCATTAAGTTTGGAGCATTTTCAAATTTTGGACATTTTTGCTGTTTCCATGGTTACAGCGGCCATTTTGAAAATTCCAACTGCAAAATGCAACTCTGTCTATGCCAGTTACCATTTCTGTAAAGTTTCATCCAGTTTGCAGCATTTTAATTTTTTTTGAAATTTTTGACATTTTTGCTGTATCCATGGTTACAGTGGATAATTCCAAAATTCTAAAAGTAGACATTTCATTGCCACATGTCATGTTATATATCAATACAGTTTCACTGACTTTGGTGAAATACTCTTTAAGAAAACGCAGATTTTATGCATTTCCCCATAGGGTCAATGTAAAACTTGTCCCATGTTTCCATGACAACAGCGGCCATTTTGGACTATCCAAATATTGTCTTGACATCTTAGCATACTGGGTAACATTTTCATAAAGGTTCATCCAGTTCGGTCTTATAACGAAAGAGTTAGATATTTTTATATTTTAGCTGTTTCCATGGTAACGGCAGCCATTTTGAAAATTCCGAAGTCAAACTGCAAATCAGCACTTGCCAGTTACCATTCCTGTGGAGTTTCTTCCAGTTTGGAACACTTTGATTTTTTTTTCGCATTTTTGCTGTTTCCATGGAAACGGCGGCCATTTTTTACCATTCCATAGCAAGGTGCACAACTTTACATGGGGGTCTTCATTATAGTAGAGTTCCATCAACATTAGTCCAGTGGATTTCAAGAACTCGCGCGGACAAAATGTGTGGAAGAAAAATAAGAAAAAAAAAAGAAACGTAGAACAACAGTATGTTACCCCAACTCTGTTGTTGAGGGTGCCATAAAAAGAAACGTAGAATAACAGTATGTCACCCCAACTCCGTTGAGGGTGCCATAAGAAGAAGAAGAAAAAAAAGAACGGAACAATAACAATACGTCACCCCAAATCCGTTGAGGGTGCCATAATAAACAGAAACGGAGGAAAAGCAATATGTCACCCGACATTGTCGATCGGTTGACATAATAATAATAATAATAACTGAGCAAAACCAATAAGTCTTCCCAAACTTTGTTTGGGAGACTTCAAAATTAAGCATTAGAGCTTTACAAAATTATTTGTGCCCCTCTTCTTGCCGACTTGTTCATTTATTCATATGAGGCTGACTTCATACATGAACTTCTTAGGAAGAAAGAAAAGAAGTTAGCAGTATCCTTTAACTTTACTTTCCGCTATATAGATGATGTTCTCTCACTAAATAATTCAAAATTTGTTGACTACTAGTATGTTGAACGCATCTATCCAATCGAACTTGAGATAAAGGATACAACAGATACAGTTAAGTCTGCCTCATATCTTGACTTACATCCAGAAATTGACAATGATGGTTGATTGAAAACAAAACTTTACGACAAAAGAGATGATTTCAGCTTCCTAATTGTGAACTTTCCATTTTTATGTAGCAACATTCCAGCAGCGCCTGCATACGGAGTATTAATCTCCCAGTTGATACAATACACCAGGGCTTGTATTTCCTATTATGATTTCCTCGATAGAGGGTTGCTGCTCACAAGGAAGCTATTAAACCAAGAGTTCAAAGTGGTAAAGTTGAAATCATCCCTTCGTAAATTTTTCCGACGCCATCACGAGTTGGTTGACCGTAATGGACCGTTTCACAGATGATAGCGGATATGTTCCTAATGTCGTAACTAC